AAAAAAAAAAAAAATTTGAACTACCATATGATCCAGCAATTCCACTTCTGGGTATTTATCCAAAGAAAATGAAAACACTAACTCAAAAAGATATCTGCAACCCCATGTTCATTGCAGCATTATTTGCAATAGCCAAGATATGGAAACAACCTAAGTGTCCACAGATGGATGAATGGATAAAGAAAATGTGGTATATATACACAATGGAATAGTATTCAGCTGTAAAAAAGAATGAAATCTTGCCATTTGTGACAACATGGATGGACCTTGAGGGCATTATGCTAAGTGAAATAAGTCAGAGAGAAAGATAAATACTATATGATCTCACTTATATGTGGAATATAAAAAACAAAACAAACAAAAAAATAAGTTCATAGAAATAGAGAACAGATTGATGGTTGCCAGGGGTGGGAGATGGGCAAAATGGGTGAAGGGGATCAAAAGGTACAGACTTCCAGCTATAAAATAAATAAGTTATGGGGGTGTAATATACTAAATGGTGACTATAGTTAATACTGTATTGCATATTTGAAAGTCGGTAAGAGTAGATCTTAGAAATACTCATCACAAGAAAAAAAGAAAAAAAATTTATAACTATGTACAGTGATGGATGTTAACTGGACTTATTGTGGTGATCATTTCCCAATGTATACAAATATTGAATAATTATGTTGTACACCTGAAACTAATATAATGTTATATGTCAATTATACCTCAATTAAAAAAAAATTCACCACTGTCCCCCATCCCTTCCTATGCCTAATCCCAGATACATAATCCCTATGCCTAGATGAAGGACTTCAGCTCTAGTGGACAGCAGAACCAGAATTCTCAACTGATGATGAAGATTCATCTGTCCCAGGACCAAGAAAGATTAGGGAATGGGTGCAATTCCCATGACCTGAAGTCAAGGATAAAGGATGTGACTGACTGCCTAACGAGGGCAGGAGGGCCTGAAAGCCAGAGTGGGAATCTTTGCTCCTAACAGCCAAGAATCCACCCCTACCCCCAACAACAAAGAATAAAAGAAACAAGACTGGGAATCAGATACTAAGAGGCCCATTATCTGTCCTGTTCATCATTAGATCTGCAGGGCCTAGCATAGCACCTGTCACACATTTGGAGATGAATAAAGCTTTGCTGAATGGAGGAGCTGAGGATCCCCAGGCCCAGCAGGGGAGTGAGAACAGTCACCCTGGATTAGGATCTGAGTAGCAGGGGTGAGGAAGAGGGGCTTTGTGCCCTGTGTGCTGTGGCAGTTCTTGCCCTGGAGACTCATCCCCTTACAACCTAGGTTTTATTTTTTGTTGTTTGTTTTGGGGAGTGAGAAGTAATTTATTTTTCTTAGGTTCCTAGTGAACATAATATCTTCAGTGGAAAAGAGAACTACACCCAAGCCAAGATAGTTGGACAATCACAATTTCTTCATTAATAGAATGAATTTGGACTATATAATCTCTAAGATCCCTCCCAGCCCCAAAGTTTTATGATTTTAATTAACTAAAAGTTAAGAGGAGAAATAGGACAATCACTCAACAAATATGTATTACTATGACTTTGTGCTAAAAACAAGTGATACAAAATGAATAAGGCAGTCTGCCCTTGGGGAATATAAAGCCAAGTGAGAGGATAAACACTGAGTCCTTAGAACACTGTAAGTTTTGTAAGGGTACATTTCTTGAGTGCTTACTATATGCCAGGCGCCATTCCAAGCACTTTACATTTTAACTTCACAATTCTATTAGATAGGTACTATTATCATCCCCATTTTTCAGCTAAAGAAACTGAGACATGGGCCAGTCCTGGTGGCCTAGTGATTAAGTTCCGGGTGCTCCACTTCAGTGGCCCGGGATTCGATTCCCAGGTGTGGACCTACACCACTTGTCTGTCAGCGATCATGTTGTGGCAGTGGCTCACATACAAAAAGAGGAAGATTGGCAGCAGATGTTAGCTCAGGGCGAATCTTCCTCAGCACAAAAAAAAGAAAGAAAGAAAGAAACTTAGACATAAAGAGGTTAAATAACTTTCCAGTAAGTGGCAAATAATCTGGATTCAGTGTCCATGTTCAATCACATAGCATGTGACTGAAAATTAAGGATGCAAGACCCAGGGGGGCATGAATGAGGGCACTCAGACTCTTTTCACTACACAAGATTTTGTGACATCAAGTGGGTTTTGATTCCATTTTCTTTGGCCCTTGGTGAGGTCCCATCAGTTTAACTGGCAGCCTAGCCATGAGAAAAACCATTTCTTTGGAGTTCACGGGGGAGCTGGGGTTCAAATTCCAGGTTTACCACTTAACTGGTGAATTTGACCAAGTCAAAGCTTCATATGCATAACAGGAGTAACAACCGGCTTCATGGGGAGGTCAGGAGGATTAAGATGAGCCATATGAAATTGCTGTTTCTAGAGCTCAAAAACGGGGTGAAATCTACCAAAATAGTTAACACTTCTTTGTGCTTCTGATTTTTCAAAAATTCCAGCCCTAAATTCTTTTCTCCTATCTTCCCTAAGGCATAGATCCACTCAACTGTTTGGATGGCCCTGGGGGCTCAGAAGTTGCACAATGTTGACCTACCCTGTGGAGGCCAATAAATTAGCCTTGGGACAGCCTCGTGAGATTTGGCAGTTCCTACAAGGATCTGGAGTTTCTTTCTAGCTAGCCACAAGCACATCCCTTGGGGCCAGAGAAGTCAAGACCCATGACAGCTCTGTGCCCTGCCACAAACAGACTCATTGCACTTTCACCCGTCTTTCCAAGGCCTATTTTGCCCTTATTTGTCGCTCTATGACGGGTAGTGACGTTGGTTCTATTTTAAAATATGGAAACCGAGGCCTAGAGCGGGTTAAGTCCCCTCAAAGGTCTCAGGCACCCTATGGTGTTGGACATAACGTGGGTTCGGCGTTAGATCGATCAGCCCAGGGGCTGTCTCTAGTTGTGTGACCTCCGCGAGGTCCTGTAACCTCTCTCTCAGGCCTGTTTCCTTTCCTAGAGAAGGGCTCTAATAACTTGCTTTCTCAGACAGCTCTTTTCCGTTCGACACAGGCTTTCCCGTGTCTGTCCTTGGGGAGCTCCGGCTGTGGCCGGATGACCTGCGAGGAGACACTGCGGGGAGCGCGCGCGTGCCAGGGCGTAAAGGGCTCGGGTCGGCGGGCGCACACTCGCGGCCCTCCATAAATATCAATATTCAATTTCAGCTACAAACAGAACTGACCTCCACATCCCAGGGTCGGGCCGACTACAAGCACTGCAGTGTGCCGGAAAGGAGGGACTGAAACTACCCAGCCCCCGGAAGGGCGGAACAGTTGGACCAACCCCACAGCAGGCGGGGCCGGAAAGCTCGGGCGGGTACGGCCCGCACCTGCGCGCCGCCATCTTGCTCAGGGAGAGACCGCCTACCCCCGGCCAAGGGCTCGCTAGCCATGAGGCGGGGCTCCCAGACCCGGCGGGGCGTGGCCAGACCATGGCGACCGCGGAGCCCAGCGGGCACGCGGCGCGAGCGTCTAGTCCTGGACCTCGGCCTGGCGGGGCCGCAGACCGCGCGGCGGGAGCTGCGGGGCCGCCCTGCGGGCGAAGCTGCAGCAGAGTCCCCCGGCTGGGGGAGCGGACCCCGGCGGCTGTGGAGAAGCGGGGGCCGTACATGGTGACGCGAGCGCCTTCCATTCAGGCCAAGCTGCGTGAGTGCGGCCCGATAGTGGGTCTCTGCCTGGGCGGGCTGCCGCGTCCCCGGGCAGGCTCCGGAGCCCCGGTGGGCGACCCCGGAGGGGCACTGCAGCCCGCTCCCGCCCCCGAAAATCTGTTTGGGAGACACGGCGAGTGGGGAAGACCCCGCTGACTCGCGCCCTTTGACTTCCAGAGAAGCACCGGGACCTGGCCAAGGCCGTTCTGCGGAGAAAAGGCATGCTGGGGGCCTCACCGAAGCGCCCTGACTCTTCAGGGAAAAGGTCTCAGCCGGCGCCACCTCCTCTCTGCAAGCACTTTCCAGAAAAGGCCCTAGTCCTCAGGCTGGGAGACAGTATTCTCGTTTAAGGCCGGGGTGGTGAACCCCATGACGCCAGCCTGTCAGATTCACTGTTTTAAAACGGGAAGAGGAACGACCTTTTCTTTTCCTTTAAGGATGTGATGGTGTCAGGGAAAGCGCTTTGGAATAAGAGAGTTTAGTCGGTGCCTGGGATCAGTCACTGTCTGACCAAGTTAGGGAGGAGCAGAGTGGCTGGGTCCCCTGGAGTGAGGATGGAGAGCAGTGTGGGAACAGCCAGCCCTGTATTATTTTTTTAACAGAATAGTCAACTCTGAGGGCTGGGTTGGACCTCATTCAGTGCTTCTTTTACAGATAAGAGCTAAAACTCAGAGAGGTGAAGGGATTTGCCCGAGGACTCGCGGTTTTTCTGTTCTCTGGTTAAGTAAGGGGGTGGGTGGGAAGGGCTTTTCCTGATTCATGAAAGAGGAAGTGTGCTTTTCCTCCGGAGCAGTTGGGGGAGGCGTGTGGGGAAGGGCATATTCTGCGGTGCTGTAGCCAGATAGTACAGGGCAGGCAGTGGTGGCTGTGTGACCAGGTAGGAGGCAAGTCAGGAGTAACGCACTCAGTTCTTTTTGCACAAGGGCGAGGGCTCTGGCTTTCCCTGTAAAATGCTGGTGCTTCATCTGTGCTTGGTTTCTCCCCCATCTCCCCTCAGGTCAGTGAAGTTTAACAAGGGCTATACTGCCCTTAGTCAGAGTCCAGATGAAAACCTGGTGTCCCTCGACTCTGACAGGTGAGTGCTCTCCTTGGAAATACCCCCTTGGGGAGTGATTTGGGTAAAACTGCAGATCACTTGGTGCCTTCGCTTGTTCCCTATCTGTTCCAAGACCCATCATGCATGCTCCAGGGCTGTCTTCTTCAGAGATCTATCCCTTCCCAGGATGACTTGGTTAGCGGACTCATAGGTGATCATGTTGCTCTTGGATTTGGAGTACCAACCTTGTCTGGGGGAATCATCCTGCCCTATTATGTCTGTACTGTTAGTGACAGTGACCCTGTCCCTGCTGGAGCCAACTGAAGGAGCTGTTTGTACTCACTGCAGGTTCTGGGCTTGAGTTCTATGGTGTGTGGTCTCTGCTTCACAAGTCCTCCAGACCCCCTTGCATGCTCTCCACCTTGCCGTTTTCAGCTGTGCTCCACAGGCATCCCCCTGAACTGACTGTCTTCCTCTTCTCCTAGTGATGGGGAGCTGGAATCCAGATACTCTTCCGGGTATTCCTCTGCAGAGGCAAGTCCAGAGCGCCTTTCTGCGCAAGGCCAGGCTGCAGGCAGCTTCACCACCACTGCCAAATGCTTGTCTGGTGCCTGCTGTATTCACGGCACTGTGCCAGTCTTCCGGTCTGTTCTCCAATCTTCTACTATGCCCTCTTTCCCCAACAGAGGTATAGGTGTCTGAGGACAGCTGTTGAAAATCCAGGAGATTTTCAAGAACCTTAGAGCTAGAAATGGCCTCACAAGTCTTCTAGTCCAGGCCACTGCTTAGAAAAGGAATCCTCTTGATATATCCCAGCTAAGTGTTTACCAGCCTCTGCTTGCTTGAATGCTTCTTGTAATTGGGTACTCACTACCTCCAAGAAGCCTTGCTGCCTCCCCTCCCCCAAATACACACACACACACACACACACACAATTCCTTCTTCAGGTAGCTCTTAGAGAAGTCTTCTTTATTAATTTGAAACGTCTCCCACAGCCTGGACTCAGTGGTCTTAAGCCTGCCCTCCAGTGTCACATAGTAATTCTAGTCTCCTTTCTTTTGATTGTCCTTTATCTGAGGTCAGCATTCCTATCCCTCCCCCAGCCATCCTCCACCAAGCATGCTGTCTTCCAGGCCAGACAACTTCTGTTCCTTCAGTTGTTCCATCTATGGGAACTTAGACTGAGATACTCCTGGGCTGGCCTTTTGGACATGTTTCCAGAGTGATTGTCCCAGACAGAAACAAAGGGACGTAAAGTTTTGGCATGTGCAGCTTACTGCCTTTGACGAGGTGAAGTGCTGGGGACATGATTGTACACCACTGGTATTTCTTCCTTATTATCCTGGAAACCCTTGGCCACCCCTTAAGTCAGCCAAAGAGAATAGAGGCAGTTTGTAAATTGTATCTTCCTTGAATATCTGGGTGCCTGAGATTGTTAAAACTAAGAAAAGAAAAATTAGCCAAGAGCTAGAGAAAGTACTACATTATGCCCAGTCTCATTTTCCTTCTGCTCTGTGGAACTGGCGAAGCCAGGCTGACAGGTTCCACTTTGCAGGGAACGAGCTCTGCTGGCATTGAAGGATGACATGTCTAACCGGCAGTGCAGACAAAATTGCTCCCCACCCCATTCCACTGTAACCAGATTCTTCTACTCTTCTACCCCATTGTTCTAGTATCATTGCCCCATAGTCTTCAGCCTTCATAGGGACTGGTCTGGGTTCCCAGCGGGAATGGTCAGGGCATTGACTTTCAAACATAATCTAGAATCTGATATTTACATCAGATGCCTCAGGATTCTTTAGTGAGAGCAGCTCCCTTGGGAGTTAGTGACAGTACAGTCTGGACAGTACTGGCTCAGGCTGTGGGTGCCCCTCACTGCTGGATGAGGCACAGGTAGGAAAAAGTGGCACTTCTTCCTGGTTCCTCCAGGTTGGCCTGAGGGTGGAGCATGGACAGGAAGCTCCAGTAAGGGAATATGCTTCTGCCTTTAGGGCAGCAGTTATTTTTGCTTTGCAGCCTGGCTTATAGTTCTCTCCTCTCCTGCTCTTAGCAGGTGAACCAAGATGTGAGCCGGCAGCTGCTCCAGGATGGGTATCACCTAGATGAGATTCCAGATGATGAGGACTTGGATCTCATTCCCCCCAAGCCTATGGCCTCCTCAACGTGCTCCTGCTGCTGGTGCTGTCTTGGGGACTCTTCCTCCTGTACCCTCCAGTAGACATAACCCTCTAAGATGGGCTCTGCTGGCATAGCAAGCAGGGCCCTGTTGGCCATTATTCATAGTTCACAGAGAGCAGTGGGAACTACAGTCAGCCCCAGAACTACTGAAGGCACTGACCCTCTGGGAAGGTCAGTGACCTGCAGTTACCTGGTGCTTCTCAGGCCAGAGGCCTCCATCTGGGCCACAGGGTAATAGGTGGCATTCTGCAATTCTCCTCTGCTATTGGAGCAGAGTTTGGAGAAACCACTTTAATAAGGGCAAGAACAGAAGAATTCTGGTTCTTATGGTGAGTGACAAAGTTGGCTAAGAAAAACACTTGCAGACTTCTTGACTGGTATTTGTCATCATGCTCTAGGGAGGGAAAAAGAGAGCTTTTGTGCCCAGGCTCTGCTGGATCATGTTATATGGAGGCAGAAAATAGCATTTTATGGCTTGCAACTGGGACTCGTTGAAAGAGAATTCAACTCTTGGGGACCAGTTCAAGAAAGTCCATGTGTTCTCCTCTTCCTAGCTCCAAGATGGGTTACGTGTTTGACCTTCAAGAGAGCATAAAGCAGGGCCCTTTGGCCCTCATCTGGTTGTGCCTGTCCATGGCAGGGAGTACAGCAGGTTGCTTGATGGTACAGCAGGATCAAGGCTTCCAGAATCACTGGCCTCAGGGTATCCTGGTCCAACTGTCTGGGTGGGTTTAGTGACTCTGGTCATCCCATCTCTAGTTAGAGAAGAACTGCTCCACTATGTACCTGTTTGTCTTGCCTTGGTCACCATTCTTTGCCTTGGTGTTAGCTAGTTTCTCCACCCAGTCTTGGAGCTAAAGCTTGGGTGAAGGGACTGGAGCTTGCCCCAGAAGCCTGCAGTTTTTGATTACCAGTAGAGGGAGCTGCAGGGAGCAGTCAGGTGCCTTCCTGTTTGTTTAGCTTTTTAAACTTGAGAAGTAGCAACGGATGAGAAGTGTACTGGCACAGTTATGTGGGTTTTGATATAGACAGAAGCTCTGAGACAGGACAGGGAGGAGGGACCTGTGCCAGCTCCCAAGTCCCCTGCCTGAGGAGATAATTTGCCATTGTAGAGGGCCTCCCTTCACCCCAGTGTGGGCCATTCTATTGGGTCCAGCCCTCCAGATTCCTCTGACCACTGCATGGGCCTTGCAGTGGATACTCAGGATTGGGCTTTACAGTAAACTTCTGGGTGCAACACAGCCTCTCTCAGGCCCCAGTCTGAACACAGCAAAGATAGGCATAATCTCCCCTGTGACCCCAACTAGATAGCATCTATCGCTGTATCAAGCCTCTCTCTAGAATTTAGTTTTTCAATGGTTCCTTTTTTTGTTTTGTTTTTTTGCTTCAAACTAGAATTATGGTGAGGACTGAGTGGAAATGGACAGGGTTCCAAGTCTAAGGGGCATGATAGTCAGGATTGGGGTGTGGGCTTCACCTGGGAAAGTGCCCGGTCTTTTGCTTCATTTGATGTCCTGTGACTGCTAGGGGTATATGAGGGGTGGCGTGGACTCTTGCTCTACCACATGGGGTGATTGGAAGACTGAAAAAACATCAGATAAAAAAGGCCTTATTTGTCATTTGTCACATGACTATCCTCATGAGGATAATCCTATCAATTCTTGATTAGCATCTATCTTGGTGCTTTTCTCAAGTTGTAGAAAGTTTAGAGGAATATACGGTATCTAGGGAGCTGTGGCTACTTTTATTCTACAATCTAGCAGCATCACAGCAGGAGGGAGACAGGACAGAGACCAGAGGCACCTCAGGTTGGGGTCTGGGGAACAGGGGAGGGAGATGGTTATTCTATTCTGGAATGGGACTCTGCAACTCTACACAGGTGCCCAACATTCTGAGCACTTTCTGCAAATACCTGCAGGGAGTGAGAACATCTCCATTCTGAAGTCCTTTGCCCATCCACAGAGACTATAGCCAGGCCTTTCTGGTCTCTGCAGAGGTGGACGAGTGCAAATGAAGAAAGGGCTCGGGTGCAGGACAGTGTAAAGAAAGAGTGGTGGTAGTGGGAAACCCAGTGGGGGCCAGAAAGTGGCTGTGGAAGCCAAGTGTGGGGCCACATTTCTGTGGGGGTTAGTTAGGACAGAGTAGCTTGAACATTTGGCAGATGCTGGGGGTGAGGGAGGCAGCAGGACCCCAAGACCAAGGCCCTCTGGGTGGCTGTTGCTATAAATCAACACTGGTATATTTGGCTGCAACTGTCCCTGGAGAGGATGTTCCAGAGCTGGGTGACCCCATGTGGGAGGCATTCCCTTGGTGGAAAAAGTTGCACAAATCTGGAACAGGGGACATTGTGCAGGGAGCCAGGGTAGAAATAGTTGTTTGGGGCCAGAGGTCACAGGCTAAACTGTCACCAGTAAAGGCACCAAGGTGCCCAGAGCCAAACTGCCTTAATTCAGAGTGCTGGGTGTTCTGCAGGTGACAGGGCCCTAGGGAGAGATGGTGTATCTGGGCTTACCTCACAGATGGGAGTGGTACTGTATGGTGTTTACAGAACTCTCGGCTTATGCTTCTACAGCTCTGTAAGTTTATAAGAATAAATACAATCATGCTAGTTGAGTCGTCTCTGTTGCAATAGGATTTTTAAGGAAGGCCTCGATCACAATCATTGTCCTTTCTGAATTCTGAAATGAAGAAATAGCCTAATAGCCCCAACTGTGACCATTCCTCTTAGGATCTCCTCTCCTTTCTGCTGTTCCCAGTGGGCGTCATTTTCAGGCCTGCTTCATTGGAGACCATAGATGCAATAGGCCTTTGTACATCACTTCTCTTTAGAATGGGTTCCCTTTAGCAGACCCTTTCTTTCCAGGTCATTCTTTTTTTTTTTCAGCTGAAGAAAATTTGGAAGCCAAAAAAACCAGAACAGATTGACCAAAACTTCTTGACAGAATTCCACTGTACAGGGGATCTAGTGTGAGCAGCAGTCCAGAAAGATCCTTTTGTGTGAGTCTAAACCCTTACCCCACAGGAAGGAGCCAATAGCCTGGGTCTCTGCTTAGTCTGGGGTGACAGGATCTAAGACTGCTGGTCAGAAACTTCAGTGGCAAAACACACAGCTGTGCAGCCTCCTGTGGAGGTGTATCCCACCTCTAGAGGGTAGGAACAGGTAGAGTAGATGCCCTCCTAGGTACTTCTGCCAGTTTAGAAAAGGTAGCTAGGTTTCTCTTCTTTTTTTTTTTTTTTTTTTTGTGAGTAAGATCAGCCCTGAGCTAACATCCATGCTAATCCTCCTCTTTTTTTGCTGAGGAAGACCGGCTCTGAGATAACATCTATTGCCAATCCTCCTCCTTTTTTTTTTTCCTCCCCAAAGCCCCAGTAGATAGTTGTATGTCATAGTTGCACATCTGTCTAGTTGCTGCATGTGGGACGCGGCCCCAGCATGGCCGGAGAAGCGGTGTGTCGGTGCATGCCCGGGATCCGAACCCGGGCTGCCAGCAGCGGAGCATGCACACCTAACCGCTAAGCCATGGGGCCGGCCCATAGGTTTCTCTTCACAATGCGAACTGGATCGGCCTGTCCCTGAGTCCCTGTATCTACAATGTGCTCTAGAGAAGTGGCTGACAAACTCTCTGTGAAAGGCCAGTCAGTATTTTTGGCTTTGCAGGCCATGCAGTCTGGCACATCTATTCAATTTTGCCATTATAGCCTGAAAGCAGCAGGACAGGATGTAAATGAATGGGTGTGGCCAGATCCAGCCTGCTGGCCTTAGCTTGCTGATCTGTGCCCTAAGACCAACTGAAACACTGGAGAGAAGCTTGCATTGACAATGCGTAGTATCTTTAGACCCAACTTCCACTGTCTGCAGGGCTGGAAGGCCAAGGCCTGTCTGCAAGCTCTGCATCTGAGACTGAAGCCAGCTGCCTCTTCCACGCCTTCCCATAAAAGTGCTCTGGAGTCCAGCCTGGCCACCTCAGGGAGCTGTCTGAAGCAGGAATAAAGCAAAAACTGGACAACATCCAGGCAGGGATCTTTCAGCCCACTTCAGGGACTAGAATGCCAAAGGCTGAGTGCTCTTTACCCCACAGCTTCAACACAAGTGATCTTTAATTGCTTTGACAGAGCAAGAGGGTGATGATGAGCATCATGAGTCCGCAGGTTTACCCTTTCCCCTCCTCTGCAGCTGAGGAAATGGGCAGTCTCAGGGCCAGAACCCTATTCTTAGAAATTAATTACCTACCCTCTTGCTCTTGACTGATGCTGAACTAATCAGATTTCACCAGCTTGCCTAATGGTGTAGGCTGGAACAGAGCTTGCCACCTCCTGGGCTGAGGAAAGCTTGGCTCAGGTGTGTGAGAACACAAGGGGGAGTGTCAATCCTTAGTCCTCACATGGGCCTCTCCTCCCAGGAAGAAGATGGTTTAGCCTAGGTCTGCTCAGGAGTCAGACCTTCAAGCTCACTCCTCTACCCTAGCTCTTCCTGGGCATACCCAAAGAGTCCATAGCAGGAAGGGGTTTGGGCTGGACCCGAGGAGGTGAGGCTGGCTAGGATTTAGGGTGACTGGCAGAGAGGAAAGCCAGGAAGGCTGTGGCTTCTACAGTAAACAGCAAGCACGGAATATCAGCAGGTCCTCAGGCACAGTGAGCTTCAGGGAGACACTCTCATTGGCTCCAATGAAGAGCACCCCACCACGCTGCAGAGGGATTATTGACTGGGCTGTGGGAGTGCTGGCTGTCACTGTCCCCTGTACCATGAGGAGGATGCTGGCAGAATCCACTGCCAAGACCTTGTATTCAGTGATGGAGCCAGGGACCTGGGCAGGAAGAAACAACAGGATGGTGCAGCTCACAGGGGGCCCAGGACAATCCTAAGGGCAGTGAGAGGGAGAGCTCTGCCACCTCCCCCACTGCTTAGACTCTTGTCAGCACGGAGGCCCACATCTCGTCCCTGCTACAGAGAGGAGTGGGCAGCCCTGTGGCCATCCCCACCAAGTGAGCTGGACAGAAAGGAAACCCAGCCCCAGGTATACTCCACATTGTACGTTTTGCCAGGGCTCTTCATGCCACACAAGACACTCAGCATGGCCCCCTACTCACCTCCATCTTCATAACGGTGAAGTCTGGCACTGGGGGATCATAGATAGAGAGGTAGGGGTCTTCCTGACTCCGTTTTGGAGGAAAGAGCCTGTCCTTGCTGGGGCTGGGTGTATAGTTGAGCATTTCACACAGGGTTGGCACATCGATGAACTTGGGAGTTAAGCCAGCACGCACTGTGTTGTCTGAACACGCCATGCACTCCACGCAGTCTGGGGACAGACAGTTGTCATGTGCTAAGCTGATGAAGGATGCCTTGGAATTTGGCTCTCCAGGGCTGGGCCTCCTAACCTGAGCACCATGAACCCCCTGCAGAGTTAGGTAAAAATGTGTGAATTACAGTCTGGGAGAATGAGCTAAGATATCAGATACCAAAAACAGATGACAGATAACCCGCTATTGTCAGGGGAGTCATGTTAACCCCTGGGGGAGCCCCAACCCTCCCCAGATTCTGTATTCTCCCACTTCTACCACAGAATCCTGTCCCTAAGTGGATAAAGAGCCAATAGTCAAAATGTGACACCCTTCTGTGGCAATGTGTATTTTAATATAAAATCTCTGGGTAGAGGGCCGGCCCCGTGGCTTAGCGGTTAAGTGCGTGCGCTCCGCTGCTGGCGGCCCGGGTTCGATCCTGGGCGCGCACCGCCGCACCGCTTCTCTGGCCATGCTGAGGCCGCGTCCCACATACAGCAACTAGAAGGATGTGCAGCTATGACCTACAACTATCTGCTGGGGCTTTGGGGGAAAAAATAAATAAATAAAATTATAAAAAAAAAAAAAAAAAAAAACTCTGGGTAGATAGGACAGACGTGCAAAGGCAGTGTGATGCTGGCAAGAGAACAACAGCCTTGATCCAATATAGCCTGGGTTCAAATTGTGGTTCCCATACTTGCTGACAGGACTTAACATGAGACTATCACAAGGGGAGTTGGTGTGAAGATTCAAGCAGTGTCCAACACCAAGCTGGCATTCATCATCCCTGCTGGCCACTTTCCTGCTGACCCCAGGAACCCTGGGAGGTCAAAGCCAGCTGGGACCTTAAAGGTCTCCTTGACTACCCTCCCCCGATTTTGTCCGGATTCGGAAACAAGGCCCGGGGACTCACTGCTGAAATGTGGCTCACCTCCTTTCAGGTAGGCATGGGGCACGTTGGCCTCCAGAAACATGGCCTCCCCCGGCTTCAGGGTAAGCAGGTTCAGAAAGTAGATGGCAAAGCATCCAATATCACCTGGATACTGCTGGTGCAGCTGCAGCAAGAGCTCCCCATAGATGTCCTCCATATTGTTTCCAGCAGCCACTGAAGGTCACAGAGCATCCCAAGGCCACTTAGGAACACTCAGTGGTGTTCACAGCCCCACCTTGCCCAGGGAGTCCTAGGGAACCCCCTGCCCACACGAATCTGGAAACTGGTGGGCATGTCCTCCTAGCCATACCTCCAGTCCTTTGGGAGCCAGCCTTCCTGGTATTCCAGCCCACACAGGTGCCATTTTTCCCATTTTGACTGTCATTATATGCCCAGCACTATACTAGGCACTAAAAGGGCTAGAGCGTGGTCCTTTTAGGACAGTGTTTCTCAATCTCGGCACTATTGACATTTTGAGCCAGATAATTCTTTGTTGTGAGGGCTATCCTGTGCATTGTGGGATGTTTAGCAACATCCCTGGCCTCTACCCATGAGATACCATTAGCACGCCCAAGCAAGGTTTTGACAACCAAAAATGTCTAGACAATTGCCAATGTCCCCTGGTTGAGAACTACTGTTCTAGGAACTCAAAATCTAGTTAGGGAGATACCCAGGAGTTCCATGTTGGGTGACCAACTGTCCCAGTTAGCCCAGGCCTTTCCCTTTTTTAGCACTGAAAGCACTGTGTCTCAGAAAATCTCAGTCCCTGGCAAACTGAGGTTGGTCACCCCAGATAGCATGAGGCAGAATGCGCCAATGGCCAAAATGTGTCATGGACACTGACCAGAGGAGGATGAGCTCAGCCTGGGCTAGAGTGGTGAAGGAAGGCTTCTTGGAAATTGTGGGGCTGGGGGGGGGGGGGGGGACAGTGAGCTGAGTTTTTTGGAGTGTGCAGAAAAGTGGGGAGGGTGTTTGTAAGTAGAAACAGAGTGTGTCAGTGCCACAATGAAGACACCAGCTGGTCTGGATTGGAGGGTTGTTGTGAGTCTTCATACAGAGACATGCTGAATACCTACTCTGTGCTAAGCACTGGGGACACACAGAGGTCAAGGAGACAGGTCCCTCGCCTGGAGAAAACCCCAGTTTTAACAAGTGTGCACCTGATGATATAGACTCACAGGTGCTAAGGGCTATACCTGACGTACCAACAGGGTGTTATGGGAGCTCCAGGCATGAGTAACCAGTTCTGCTATGAGTGCAAGAAGCCCTAAAGGGAGAAGCATGCAAGCAGAGAAAACACCCAAAAACAAAGAAAACGTAGGGTATACTTGGGTAAAATAAACAGTTCTTTGTGGCTCAAAGGTAGCAGGGGAAATGTGTAGAGAGAAACCAGAAGAGCTCTGGGGTCACCTGGAGAAGGGGCTGGGGCCTCATGTGTGCCACATAAGCTCATAGCTGAGAGTCCATTGCCTTGTGTTTTGCACTGCCTGTATTGACTCCCCAACCCAAAGGTGACAGGACCACATGCATCACAGTCATTTACTGAACTTTCCTTAGTTAGCACAAGGTTGGGCACAGAGCAGGTCTTTAAGGAAAAATCTAATGATTGAGAGCTCTGGGCATCAGCCCTTTGGGGGAGAGAGAGGATCTCCTTGTCCCCTTCCTGCTCTCTAGCCCCGAAGTATAAATCCATCCATGGATAGCAAATATAGGGCTGGGGAAATCTGAGAATACCTGGGTGGAAGACATCCTAAGAGTCTTCTAGACCAATCTGCCTCCAGCCTAGAGAAGATGGCCAGTTAGGAAGCAGCATTCAACCTAGGGCCCTGCTCCACAAAGGCTGGGAAAGAAATGCTAGGTTGCTAACAGGCCATCTAAGTTGGGCCTGTTTTAATGTTTCACTTGAGCAAAGGGGTAAGAACCCTGTCCCCACAGCCAGTGTCTGTGCTGGGCGCCCAGGACGGGGCACTGCAGCCAGGCCTACAATGACACCCACCTTGCT